TAAAAGGAAGCAGATAGCCATTATTTTTCCAAAGTTTGCCTGATCATTGCTTTGATCCAATTTCTGGAGTATTTGATATTGCAAAAAAGGAACTAACTCACCAAGTTCTTTATTTTATGAACAGAAGATCTTAACATGATTTTTGTTAGGTTGAGTCTAAAAAGATATATTTTCGGGGGAAAATAAGAATCCCATCCACCCTCTATCTGACCGGCAGAATTCTGAAAGTTTCTTTTGGAATTAACCAGATATTTCAGAGTGATTCCTAGAACTTGAGGTGTGAATACTGTAGTCTATGTGGTCCTCCTACATGCCTTTACTTATGCCAGTACTTGCAATCACAAATCTTGGACCTAGAAATGTCTCCCCCCCGACCTTTTTTTTGGTCCTGTGTAACTTTAGAATAGTTGCTTTCAACCTTAGATATATATTAGAATGACCTGGGGAAATTTTAAAAGTCCCAAACCCAGGCCTCATCCCAGATCAATTAAATCAGAGTGAAACCCAGATATCAGTCCCACCAGATTGTGCAGTCAAGGTTGAGAACACTGCTTAGAATGAAGACAGGCATTCTTTAGGGATCATGGGATTTGTTTTGCAAAAATGTCATTTTTGCAAAATAATTTGGAAGCACCAGGTGTTCCCCATGCTCTGTCTTTAATTAAGTCTGGAAATCTGGTAGTCATAAACACAACAGCTCTGACTCTTCAAACTCCACCTCTTCCCACATCTTGGGAACGCCTTAAAGACCAATAAGGGACTGTCAGGGATAGTGTCTAGCATTCCAAGCCCTACGGCTTCCCCTATTTTAGCTGAAGAAGGGTAGAACAAGAACCACGGATTTTTTTTTCATTTTTGACAATTTATGAAAAATGTAGCAAATTCTGCCTACCAAACTACATTGTGCAATCATGAATGTGAAGGAGAGGGTGGGATTCAAGTGGGAGCTTAAAGCATAAGCAGGGCAGAACATAATAACCTTTTAAAGATGGCTTTTAGAGCTATTTGAAACACTGTGGCATACATATGTAAATTTGTAGGCAATGGTATTAACTGATAGAATAACCTAGAATTCAGCTTTAAGAAGAGTGATTATGGGGCCAGCCCAGTGGCGCAGTGGTTAAGTTCGCATGTTCTGCTTCTGCAGCCTGGGGTTCGCCAGCTCAGATCCTGGATGCAGACCTACGCACCACTTGCCAAGCCATACTGTGGCAGGTGTCCCATATATAAAGAGGAGGAAGATGGGCATGGATGTTAGCTCAGGGCCAGTCTTCCTCAGCAAAAAGAGGAAGATTGGCAGCAGATGTTAGCTCAGGGCTAATCTTCCTCAAAAAAGAAAAAGAAGAGCGACTATAAGTCCTGATCTGCCTGAACTGTTTAAGTTTATACCCATTGTCTCAGTGTAATTACTAATAGTACCTTCTTTGACTCTAAGAGTGTCCTCTTTGGGTCATAAATTATACTATAAGAGATTAGAGAGCTCTTATTGAGCAGAGAATTCAGTCTCAAAGTAGAGACAAGATACATGAATTATACATAGTAAGTACTCAATAAAAATTAGCTGCTATAACATTATTGTCATTATTATTAATTCACAAACAACAAGTTTTAAAGACAGTCTACAAATATGAAAAGAAAACAAAAATGCACACCCCTAGATTTCAACATATTTCTAAAACTGAAGATTGGTTTTCTCTACATTGCCACAATGGTTATGTAGTGTCATCTCTGAAAATAGGCGGCAGTCTTCTTCGTATTATTTGCATACAAAAACGTAATTCAAGATAACTATAAAAATAATTTTGCTTTAAAATATCAGAGGGATTTGTATAATGTAAAGATTTTTTTTAATCTTTACCAAATAGATGGCCTTCCTCATGATTATAATCCAAGCTTAGCAATTAATGTTCAATGCTTTGGGATAAGAAAGCAAAACAAGAAAAGTTAAATTAAAAATAAAAAGCAGGGATGGCATTTAGAGCTGCTTTAAGTACAGCTATCTGAAACGTTCTCTTGTTTTGACTTATTCCAGAAGGAAAACTTGAAACAATGAGTAAATGAGTATAAGTTACAAAGAGGCATATTTTAGCTCAACATAAGGATTTTTAAAATAGAGTTGTCCAACAGAATGGATTGTTTCAGGAAATGATGAGCTCCTTTGCTGAAGATATCCAAATTGAGACCGGATGAGCATATGCCAAGGATGCTGCAGGAAACATTTCTGCACTGTGTGGGAGGTTAGCCAAGAGAAGATGATGTCTTAGGTTCCTTCCAACGCTAAATTTTATAATCTTATGACTATTCCAAACAAGAATAACTACTTTAATGATACAAACTCTGAGGCCTGGTTAAGAAAATAAAAAAGAAGAAAAACAAACCAACAAACTCTAGTTGTGTTCCAGGGAAAACAGACTATATGAAGAAGCCTTTTTTCCCTAAGTGCTCAGATAAGGAAAGTTACTACATTCTAAAAGTATATGCTTTATGATGCATGCAATTATTTTAGAAAATTTAGTACAAACAATAAAGTATGCATTTCTAAAAGATAAATGAAGTGAAAAATAAGAAATCATTTGCTGAATTACTGAATTACACAACACAGGAGGATAAGAAGCTGGGCAGAAAGCCAATGAAGGACTGAGCAAGGTTTTCCACTGCCTCACAGTCCTAAGGAGGCCAAAACTAGAGCTCAGAAACGTTCAAGGGGCAGAGATCCTGATTAAAAATTCCAGGATCTCAATTGGGAACTCAGGTGTCCACCTGCTAGAGAAGCAGAGACAGACAAGTTGTAGACTGAGCATTACCAAATCTGCAGTTGAGTCCTAGAATTAGGATAAGGTAATCTGCCAACATGCTGTGGTCCAACCAGATCCACAGAGCAAGGCAATGTTATCTAGAGTCACTACAGTTTAGCAAATATAATATTTGGCATTATGAAAAAAATAAAAAACAGACATGATACAAAACAGTACAGGAGAAAAAAAGAGAGCAACAGATGACCTATTTATTTGAGCTATCAGGTTGGATAAAAAGAGCTATAATGGGATGAAATCTGATGAATACAAGAGATGGAAATACTAAAATTTTTGTAACTGTAATATGACTGGTAAAAATTGGTGCCCTAGAGGGGTAGAGGGGAGAAAAATAGGAAAAGAAACAATTAAAGAACTAACAGCGAAGACTTTCCAAATGAAAGACATCAAGGCAAAGAAAACCACACTAAGTCACATCATACTGAAACCACTCAAAACTAAAAGAGAAAAAACCCCTTGAACATAACCAAATAGCCAAACAGAAAAAAATATACCTTACCTTCAAAGTTACATAAATAAGAATGATAGCTAACTTCTCAATGGAAATAATGAAAGACAGATTCTGGAATGACATTTTCAAGCTGCTGAAAGAAAACTGTCATCCTAGGATTTTATACTCATCAAAATGCCCTCCAAAAGTGAAGGTGGAATAAAGACATTAGCAGAAAACAAAAAGCAAGTGAAATTGTTGCCAGCATATATCCTCACTAAAATAAATACCAAAGTGAGTTCTCCTGGCAAAAGGACAATGATCTCAAATAATTCCAAATGAAAACAGAGAAATTCAAGAGGAAGAACAAAAACGTGGGTAAATATAAATGAATACTGACTATACAAAACAGTAATTATGATGTCTTGTGGGGAGCAACACATGTAGGACTAAAATGATTGATATAATAACGCAAAGGGTGGTGCTATACAGACGTAAAATATTCTTAGGTTTTAGCATTGTCCAAAAAGTTTTATATGCATGAAATTACATTAGGTCATAATAAGTTCAGACTGTATGATGTATTCTTTAGGATATGCACTAAAACATTGTAAAAGAATGTATAACTAACAAACCAATAAAGGGAGGGGGACAGCATAATGAAAGAAGTCTGATTAACCTTGCATAACGTAAATAAGGAAAAAAGGAACATGAAACAAGTGAGAAAAGCAGAAAAGAGATAAGTATAAACACAAATACATGAGTAATTACATTAAAAGTAATTGCTTCAATCACAAGGCAAATATTTTCAAACTGGATTAAAATATACAATTAGATGCTACTTACAATTGATATTGTTTAAATATAAAGATAGAGAAAGGATGGAAAAATACATGCCATGGAAACACAAACCAAAAAAGTTGGTGCAGTTACTCTACTTTTAAAGTGCATGTAGGATAAAAGGAAATCCATTAGAAGGCTAAAAAAATTCTAAATTTGCTTTCACATACCTTCAAATATCTGAAGCAAAAATTGACAAAACTTAAAGGGAAAGACAAAGCCATACAATCACCTCTCTCAATTACTGGTAAAGAAAGGAAAGAAAAAAATCAGGAAAGATACAGAAAATCTAAAGGGTACTTTCAAAAAACCATCCTTAATTGGCATATATACAACACTACACTCAACAATGATAGAATATTTATAAGTGCATATGGATCATTTACCAAAACTGATCATTTCCTGGGCCATAAAGCAAGCCTAAACAATGGCATGAGACTAAAATCATCTAGAGTACATCCTCTGATCATCATTTAATTAAGCTAAAAATCAATAACCAAAAAATAACAAATATCTTCATTTTCTATCCTAAAACTAAGACTACAACAAATAAGAACCACCAGAAGTTTTCCACTGCAGAAACTGATCTGGGAATTATTTTTAAACATTTAAAACTGTACTGTAAAACAAATTTATATTTATTTTCCATTAATTACCAAAATATCTGCATAGCATGTATTTTGATTAACTTTTTATAGATGAAATAATATATCAAATTGCTTTTCTTAATTGCTTTTGCCTGTAAATCAAGTTCTCCCTTTTAAAGATGTCACCATACATATCTGGGATCACTAATGTGATAAAGAATATGGTTGGATTGTAAACTTTATTGTTAAAAAAGAGCCAACTTGTCAATTTACCTCACATATTTACTCAACTGCCACAAAAACAAGAAAACATTAAGTGTTTCTACTAACCTTGATAGACTGACTACATGGTCCAATGCTAGCAGGTGCCCAATGAGAAATACCCTGAACATGCAGGATCTCTTTGGGATGACAGAGACCACCACTAATCTCTGTGTCACTCTGGTGGACAAGGCAATCTTTCAAGAAAAGTACTTCTTCTGGCAACATAGTTTCTACACAAAAACTCTGAAAAATAAACCAAATTTAAAGGAACAAGGTAAAACAAAAAGACCAAAATCAAAAAACAAGGTAATCAATATGAAAAGGATCTTCTCTCAATGTTGTGGTTCAAGATAACTGATGGAATCTCAACCTTCATTTCTCATCCTTCTCCAAATTCTTCTGAAGTGACAACAGAAACACAAATCTAAAAATTTATATGTAGCAATGCTGCAAAATTAGAGGAGGGCTACCAGCATACAAGAACAGCAAGGAATTTCTTGGAAGGTACAAAGCCGAGAGTGGGAAAGAAATATTGAGAAAAAATTGTAACAAAGCTGAGAATCTGCAAACCCTAAAAGAGAAAATAAAGGACATTACCTACAACAAATTCTTACACTTTTCACCTCCTTGCCATTTTACATAGAGTTATGTGAAAATTAGTGCATTCAGCCTTCCAGTTCACTAAACTCATCTTTGGCCTGCCCTTTCTACTATTCAGCCTGAGCGACTTTTTTAAAAAATCACTAACCATTTCATTTTCATAGCATTTTTTTTAAAAGCTATTATCAATCTGAATGTCACTAAAGATATTAAAGAAAATAATTTTGAAGGTTTCTTTATTTCCTAAATTAACTTTGTTACCACAAAGGTTACTTTGTTGTATTTGTTTAGTTTGATGTGCCTGTTTGTGCTTGTGTTGGTTATTCTTGCATGTTTAGTTGTTGGTTATCTATTCATATTTATAAGCAAGGATCTTGATTACTGAGTATTGTTTCCTGGACTGTATTTCAAGTGACAACGTTTACCTGGTTGAGAACAAAGATGGCTACATGGTGCTGGCCACACTGTCAGACTGGCTTGTGTACAGCATGTTTTCTGGGTGAGCACACTTCCTTGTCTTTCGGGGCCCGTTAATCAGGGGAGACCCTATCCCACCAAAATCTCCTTTTGGACTCTCTCACCTCACATTCAGATTTCCAAATTTGTAGATTTATCCTGTACATATTAGAGTCAGTTGCTTTTCCAGCAGGGCACTGGTGCAATTGCTGTACCACCCTGTAATTAGCTGGTCAACCAGACATAGCATATTCCTCTCAGTTCCCTGCAGCCTTTAATCTTGGGCTTATTTACATATTCCTTTCGTTTTGGAGGATCCTTTCCATTCCTATGGAGTTGCAGGTTCAGTTTTGTTGGGATATGCCATCAATCTTATCCTACTTATTTTATATCTTCCAGAAATTTGCACTTCTGATGGCACCCCTCCCTACTTTCTAAAGTCACTATGGTTTTATTACTGCTTTATATTTCTTCTGTCATTTCAATGGAATTTTGGTAGGGAGAAAAGATAAAAGCTGTCAAAGTGTTCAGTCAGCTCTCCTGAACCAGGATATACATTTCTATGTCGATTCACTTGAATTAACTGAGCAATTAAACAAATGTAATCTGATAGCACTTCCTAGTCTACTGAAATGGGAGCCATCTGTCTTGATTCTAGCTCTCCACTAATGTTTTAGTAAATTCTTTCAGACTCTGCTTTTCCAATCTTGCTTCAGCATAAGAAGGGAACTCTCCCCCTCCCTCACTCTTTCCCTCTCGTGTATCTCCAATCTTTCTCCTGTGGACTCTTTTCTCCTACAGTGGGAAATAAATCTTTGCTATCCCCGAAATACTGCCTCCATTTCACCTTCCTTCTATTCTCTACAGCCCTCACATTAACTCCTAAGCCCAAATAGCAATAAACATTGCCAAAGACTCACTCCTGAGGAAGTCATCCTTGGAGTTCTATGATCCCACTCCATGGTGGTCTTTGTTCTACCTCTTTAACAATTGCTTAGTCTGAAGGCAGTGGAATAGAGTGGATTTTCTCACTGTGGAGTGGAAAGAGTACTCATGCCATAGACAGAGAAGAGTTGTGGAATCTGATCAGGAATGGGAAGAAAAGGATGGAAAACAATGCTGAGGGCTTTGTAAATCAAAGCCTATGTTCTTTTCTTAGTCTTCATCTGCAGCAATGAATGCTACTGAACCTTAATTCTCTCTCTAAAGATACCCTCTCTAGAATTCCATGATCCTAATTGAACTTGGTTCTCTTCCTACCTCTTTGACAATTCCTTCTGTTTGAATGGAGTCATATAGTGGGGGAGGTTTCTACAATATGGATTGTAAACTGTAGGAGTGTTAAAGAATAAAAAAAAATTCCTTGAAATTCATAAGAACTTGGAAGGAAAAGATGGGAAACAAGACAAAGCCTGAGAAAACAGGCTAGAAGCAATATGAAGTGAAAGGTGGATCTAGCTGGTCAGTTGAGGAACAAAGCAGAAATAACATGGCTTCAGAGTCACCGAGGTCTATGAGGGAAGTTGTAATCTTAGTGTGGCCTATATTGTGGAATGAGTGGCAAATGTCAGGTGCTTGACGCCTCAAGTGTAACGCACCAGAGCAGAATTTCTGATCCCTTCTGCCTAATGGGAAAAGAGCTTCTCATATCCTTGGTCATTATCCTACACTGGTTCTTGGGGCAGAAGGGGTCGTCTGCTCATGGTTAGATGCTGCTCGCTACGGCTACCTGGAATGGATCTGGGGCAAGGTAGAAGATCCTGGAGAAAGTACCAATTTCCCTGGTTAATATCACAATATTCGGACTGTTCTTTACCTCCTGCTTACTAAATGTTAAAGCACTCTCTAATCAGTAAAGCATTTTCTGCTTATTTACTTGTGATGGGCCTTGGGTTGTTTTATTGGAAAATTATATTATCTAATTCTTAGAGAATTAGAATCTGTAAATTTGTCAAGGAAAAAGTCTTTTTGCTTTCTTTCTTTTTAAAAATGTAGCTTCTAGTATAGTGTTCTGCATCAAAATTAAGTGAATAGCAATTTCTAGAAAACTTCCTACAAAAATTGTCTTTTCAGTCAAATTACTTGAATTTTCTTAAAGCACTTTCTATCACACAATCAAAGCCATTTTCCTCTTCTTTTTTTTTAATTTGAAGTTTACATATTTCAAACTAATTGGAAGAGATAATTAAATATTAGTAAATTTCTTTGGTTAGCTTTGTGTAGGCAAATCAACAAAACATCTTGTATTCAGTTGTTTAAGATTATGTCTAAAATCATTTCTTTTCTTTTCTTTTTGTAAGGAAGACTGTCCCTGAGCTAACATCTGTGTCAATCTTCCTCTATGCCTCCACAGCCTGGCTTGATAAGCAGTCTGTAGGTCTGCACCTGGGATCTGAACCTGTGAACCCTGGGCCATCGAAGCAGAATGTGCAAACTTAACCACTACGCCACCAGGCTGGCCCTTTGAAAACATTTATTTTAAGAATAAGGAAAACAAGGCACAATTAGGCCCTTTGAAAACGAACATATACTGGAGGTATAGAGGCGAGTTGAGGGAATAAGAGGAAGAATGTACTAGTTTCATGAACATTCCTTTTTCACCTCACTGCCAATCTCACTCCTCAATATTAATTTTCCTCTTCCTACATCTCAGAATCCCTTTACTTCTCAAGCCGTATCATGAATGTGTGTCCCCATTTGTGGATTACTGGCAATGGATGTTAAGGAATAGTAAGAATAGGTACATAACAGAGGAATATAAAAGAAATGGTAATAATCCATATTAAGAAACATGAAAGCCACATAAATTGGAAAAATAATACAACCACTAACCCAATGAAAGAGGGCATGATAAAGAGCAGGTTTCAGAACCAGAGATATCAGAGCATGAACATGGAATGAGGATTAAAGGAGATAACCAGAAAAGTGCCTGGTATCAGGCATTCAGGCAACTTTGCCTTCACATGACAGTAATAGCTATCTACCTTGCAGGCAGGCAGAGCTTGAACATGGTCACATATGCTGAGTTAGTAGCTGAGAAATCTTTCATGTTTTTCAGATAGAGATGGACCAAAATGATATCTTTCAATTCCAATTCCTTAGATTTAATAGAAGCTGCAGAAGAAAAGATATATTCATACATTTAGGAAAATTATAACTCTGCTAAGAAAATTGAGATATCTTGAGTAGGCTTTACACAAAATATATTCCATATATATTGAATATATTCTTGATAATAGATTAGTGTGTTTTTAACACTTACTGATGGAATAATGCAGAGGTTGGGACACTTTTCCTGTAAAGGATCAGACAGTAAACATTTTAGGCTTTGCAGGACAAGAGGTAAAATTGAGAGCATTATAGAGAACATAATAAATTATAGAAAATTTAACAAAATTTAGAAAATAAATTGCCTTATTAAAATTTAAAATATAATAATAATAATTGAAAAAATTTAAAAAAATGCCTGTCTACTAATGAGAAGAACGGAGTTCTCTTTTTTTTTCTTTTGGGATAACATTTCACTTGAATGTTCAAAGTCAGTATACCCTGACACCAAAATGATTGCAAACGGTCATTTTTAAAAATCATTGTTAGTTTGTGAGTGGTATCAAAATGGGAGCAAGCTGACTGTGGTCTGTGGGTCTTAGTGTATTGACTTCGGCTATAAAGGAATTTAAAGCTATCATAACTTGGCCTTTTATGAAAAATGAAGTGTGACTTTAAATTTTAGGTTTTAAAAAATCAATCAACTGTAATCACCCAGGTTTTTTATTTGTTAACTTCATGTTTGTAAGACTAAATCAATGAATACATTTTTAAATGTTGCTTTATGGAAAAAACAATCCATTGGCTTTTATTTTTGAACACTACCAATAAGCGATCTCAATGATTTTAATACCTCAGACCTTAGTGAACAATAGCCAGAGTAAGGAAAGAAACTTTTACCCAAATTTCAATTAAAACAAGTTGATCTTATTTTTGATCTCTAAAATTGCTTTTAATGTGCCCTACACTAGATCTGAGATTTGCACACTTCCCAGTTAGATCCACTTTAGATGACAGATTGTAAATACTGAAAAGTTAAGATAAATACCCTTTTCTTTAGGTTGCTGATTGTTCTCATAAATTGTTATTCCTTACTTTCTCCAAAGCTCTAGAAAATAATGAGATAAACCTTCATTAAGCCAAGAAACCAAAAGGATTTAACATGCTAAAGAAGCAAGAAGCCAGAACCACATCTGATGAGACTAAAGAGTACTAATAAGACAGAAAAGGTCAGTAAAATTCTTGAGATGAACTTAATCCTGGGATCATCATTGACTTTATAGAACTCAATTATTAAGGAACTTGAGAGAAAGTATCCCTCTTTAAGGATCTCCAGTTAGAACTGAGAATACAGACAAAGAATGCTTAGAAGGTAACTGAGCAGCTAGTCATCAATAAAGGAGATAAAAGGAATAGGATTTAATATGTATTACATATTCTGAATAGAAGAAAATAGCTGGAAAACAAAATAATAACTCACAGAGAGTTCCATTTGAGCATTTTAAGCTGCTTTCTAAATTAATATTATTTCATTCTTACACACTGAAAAATTAAGACAAATATAACAAGCAATTTGCTTCTTGTGCCAGCAAACAGTCTTTCTTTTCTTGACAGATCCATTTCTTTTGCACGCCACTAAATTCACTTATTCCACATTTATTGGCTATATTCTTTCTTAAAGTACTAAGAAAATGAATGACAATTACTCTTAAGTGTTATAGCTTGACATGCAAGTTAATACGTACTTAAAAGTGAACCAAAGACAAAGGGTTAAAGAGGAAATTCCTAAGCAAGTATTAACAATTTAGTGTTAAAATGAAATTCCATTTATAAAGAACTTCTTGCTGCAAGAGCAATGAAATATTTGACTACTGGAAAGATTTTTGATTTTTATTCTTTGTATATTTCAAAGAAAAATAGACTGCTACTTTTCCAAGTTTCAGTATAATTCTGCTGAAGAGCAGAGATTTGGCCCAAATGAGCATGAACTCTTGCCCTTCTTTTTTGTTTGGTGATCCTTGATAAATATGTTACCCAACAGTATTTCCACCTAGGAGATGGAGAATACCTCCACGAGGCAAGGGACTTAAAGCTCCCATGTCAGTATCCTTCTACAACTTCTCCTGGTCTAGAAATAACAAAGAAAATTAGAAACTTCCCTCACTCACATCTGTGCTTTAACGAGTGTCTGATAGCTGAAGAGAGATCTTGAATTAGAACACTTGTATTACAGAAAATGTGTCTACTTAGGGGTCTTGGGGTTCCCAACCAAAAGCTACTCCCTGAGGAGGATGTGCAGATTATAAGGGTTTCCTGCTCTATTTTCTGGCAACACTTGGCTGATTTGCTTGCCTACTTGGGATGGAGTTGCTTCCACTTCTGATGTTCTGAGGGCACTGATGTCTTTGTACTACCATGCTGGGTATACCAGGTGTCCTGCTTACCTGAAGCTACCTGCAAACAGTAGTAGATAAGAGATGGGCTGAAAGGCCCCATCATTATCCATAGTTTCCCAGAAGTTGAAGATCATCTATTACTGTGGCCAATCTGTTTTTCTTTCTGAACAAGTCTATACTGGGTAAGTGTGCCAAGGAATGCCACTCTGGGAGCGTCAAGTTACACTCTGTTGTTTTCTAATTCTTCAGACATTAGCCTTCCAATTACTCCATTGTTCATGACACTTTAATGCCAAGAGTTTTAAACTGGGGGATTTCCACTAGAAACATTTTCATCCTAGAAATTAATTCATAAGAGAAATTTTACTTATTCACGCACATGTAAACCTCTCATTCCCAAAACGATTTGAGACATCTACTTGTGAAAATTTGCCTTGCCAGTAACTTTGTTAGAATTTGTTCTCAGACTAACTTTATAAACAAGAGATAATTGGCCATGACTCTCAAAGTGATTGGTCTCAAGTTTAGAAGACTCTATTTCAACTAGCCTATACTTAAAAAAGAAAAATCTGGGTTTTGGATACTTGGGGGTGTTTTTTAAAAATACGTTTTTGATCATTTTTGTATGTCTTGAATACCTCATAAATTTCAATAACAATAAAAAGCTATACCTCTCTTACCATATTGGCAAAAATAAAAGACATTAATAATAGACAGTTTTGGCAAGTTTTGGCAAGTATGTGACTAAGCTGGAACACTCACGCACATTTTAATAGGCATATAAATTAGCTAAAGCTTTTTGAATAGTAATTTAACAAAATGTTTATAGTCCATGTTTGGAATGTGAAAAATAAAATAATACAGCTTTTGGAAGATAACATGGTCTTCATGACCTTGAGGTAGGGAAGGATTTTTCTTAAAAGAGACACAGAAAGCATTAACCTCAAAAGACAAGAAAAGGAATAAATTGTTCATCAAAAGATACTATTAAGAGAATGAAAAGGGAAGTCAGGTACAGAAGATGATATTGCAACACACATATCTGATGAAGGGCTCACATCTAAAATAGTAAAAGGACTCATCAATTAATTAAAAACTATGACAGATAATCTTGTAAGAGAATGTACAAGACACATAAACAGGCACTTTACAAAAGAGGATGTCCAAATGCCTAGACAACATGATTAGAAAACTACAAATTAGAAATACAATGAGATACCACCACACACTTGTTAGGATGGCAAATATTAAAACAACTGACAATACAAAGTGTTGGTAAGACTATGGAGCAAATGGAACTCTAATACAGTGCTGATGAGAGTGCAAATTGTTTAAAACACTTTAGAAAACACAGCAATTCTACTCAATAAAAATGCAAACATATTTGAACCAAAGATTCATACAAGGATGTTCATAGCATGATTATTTGTAATAGCCATAAAATACCCAATGTCCATCACAGAATGGATAAATAAATTGTAGCATACCAATACAATGAAATGCTCTTTGAAAAAAATTAAAAAGGAAGGAAAAACAAAACTGTTTATACAACTACATGGGTGAATTTCATAACCATAATGTTGAGTGAAATAAAGTGAAAGAAGCTAGGCACAACAGAATACATAAGAATAAATACAAAATATTTTCATTTATATAGAGTTCAGAAACAAGCAAAACTAATTGTCTGTGATATTAATTGTGAGAATGATGTTTATGTTCAGGAAAAGGGGAAGGAACAGTGACTGGGAAGGGCACAAAGCTGAGAGGAGGACTTCTGAAGTCTTCCTGATGTTTTATTTCTTGACCTGGGTAGCAGCTACACAGCTGTGAACATTTTCTGAAAATTCATTAATTTATATATTTGACTTGTGCTGTTTTCTGTGTTTTCATACTTTAATAAGAAGGTAAGCAAAACGGCAGTTGCATGGATTTCCTAAAAGAGATCCTCCCAATATAATTTCATTCATCCAGAGTTGACTCTGAACAGACGCATTTCTTCCCGCTTCACAATGTGCACTGCCACCATCTCTTAATGAGTTTTGGTCATGTCATACGTCCATTATTTAACATTTTCTCTCACTGCCCTTTCTGTATTACTGCATTTCTGTTTTTCCTTGGAGTGGTAGAACATAACCCTGATAACATCCAAGTGTCATTTTGGGTGGGGGTTTTAATCCTAAGGACAGTTTTCTTCTATTTTCAAAAATTACCTCTCTTCCACCACCTGTTTCTGTTCTGTTTATTTGAAAGTGGGAGCTTTCAGATTTTTCTCCCATGTCTCTAGATTTTTCTCCCATATTTTCCAAAGTGTTCATGATATATTCTGGGACATATCCTTGACTGGCAGGAAATTATCTGATTATTAACTTGTTCTTCTGTTTTGAACTATATTATATGCTTCTGAACATTATGCTAATCTTAGGTTATGTATACTTGATTACAGAAATTGAAATAATTTTCTGATGAATTTATCAATGTCTTTGGGAAATATGGATTTTCATGAAACTCTTAAAATTTTCACTCAAATATATGAGTTAAACATAGTTAATGTCAGAATAGAGGAAAAATAATGAAGACAATGCTCATGGGTGAGTTTGAGAAGGATTTTAAACTCTCCCTCCTCAAGTCTTATATAGTGCAGACATAAAGTAATTAAATTGGATTTTTAAAAAGTTAAGATCAAGTTCTGGGTGACATCAGCATCATGGCAAAGTGAGCTTTTCCCTTAAACTCTCCTCCATAAGATACAATGAGAAAGACCTTCATAAACCAACAGAGGACACTCAGACAATTCAAAAGACATCTGAGAGACTCATGTAGCCAAACGTCTGAATGGGGAGATGTTGTGTTCAACCCCTCAGAGGAAGTGGAAGGAGGTAAGAGGACCTCCTCTCTCTCCCCCAATGGCAGTGACCTAGGGCATGGGACCGTGCATGGTGCTGAGAAGGGAGGGGCGGCTTTCCAGGGGAACACCTTCGCTCTCCATGCACCCTCACAGCCCATGGGAAAGCCCCACATTGAGGTGGCTAAGCTACTGCAGAGTTGTCTTCATCAAATTAACACATGAGGAGAGCAGATAGGGAGGGCAGAGCGAGAATGTCCCCAGGATTGCACAGGCAAAAGAAAGTGCCCCTCTCCCCTCCCAGCACTCTAGTTTAGCTGCTTGGTCAGGGCACCCACACATACGTTAGAAAAGCAGCAGCTGTGAGCCAGGGAGCCAGGGATTGTGGATGGCTCAGGATACAGAGGTCTTGACCCCCACCCAGTGGCAGCAGGTGGAACCTGTGACCAGATACTATCACTATGTGGAGGCACAAATCCATGTCATCAAACAGTATGAAGAAATATATTAATTCTCCAGACTAGAAGGAAAATGGCAGGCACCCAGAAATCAATCCTGAAGTCATGGTAATTTATAATCTAAATGACAGAGAATTCAAAAGAGCTCCCATAAAAAAAAAAAAAAAATCAATGAATTACAAGAAAATACAGAAAGACAGTTCAATGAAATCAGGATCAAAATTAATGAACTGAGGGAATTCTTCACAAAAGAGATTGAAACTATAAAGAAAAGCCAATCAGAAATGTTGGAGATGAAAACACAACACATGAGATAAAGAAAAACATGGACTCCCTGACTAACAGAGCTGATATTATAGAGGAGAGAACTAGCAGTCTGGAGGACAGACATATAGAAATGCTTCAGATCAAGGAGCAGAGAGAATGAAGACTAAAAAGAAATGAAGAAATTCTGTGAGAAATGTCCAACTCAATTAGGAAATGCAACATAAGGATTACAGGTCTTCAAGAGGGAGAAGAGAAGGAGAATGGAGCAGAAAGCTTGTTCAAAGAAATAATAGCTGAGAACTTCCCAAACCTGGGGAAGGAGCTGGAAATACAAGTAAAAGAAGCTAATAAAACTCCCAATTACATCAATGCAAAAAGATCTTCTCTAAGGTATATACTAGTAAAGCTGGGAAAGGTCAACAACAAAGAAAAAACATTAAGGGCAGCAAGGCAAAAGAAAATAACTTACACAAGAACCCCCATCAGGCTCTCAGCTGATTTCTCAGCAGAAACTTTACAGGCTAGGAGAGAGTGGAATGATATATTCAAAATTCTGGAAGACAACTTTCAGCCAAAAATACTCTGTCTGGCAAAAATATGCTTCAGATACGATGAAGAAACAAAAGTTTTCCAGATAAAGAAAAGCTAAGGGAGTTTATTGTCACAAGACCTCCCCCACCCCCAAGAAATGCTCAAGAAGGCCCTCATGCCTGACAAAAAAAAAAAAAAAAGGGAGTTATAAAGAATTGAGAAAGGAGATAAATAGGTAGACAAAATCAGAAAATTGCAACTGTCTATCAGAACAGTTAGCAAACACCTAATTATAACATTAAAGATAAAGGGAAGGAAAACATGAAAAATAAATATAATCTTGTCATTTTAAACACAACTCACAACACAAGATAGAATAAGTTGTGACCATAATAACTTAGATGGGGAAGAGGTAAGGGGTGGGACCTGCTTAGACTAAGGGAATAAGAGGCTATCAGAAAATGGATTATCTCATCTATGAGATTTTTTAAACTAACCTCATGGTAACCAATAATCAAATAATCAGAACAGAGACACAAATGATAAATAAACTGAAAACTGAGAAAATCATCATAGACAGCTACCAAACTGAATTGGTAGTCCGAAATACACAGGATGGGAAAAAAGGGAAATGCAGAACAACCAGAAAATTAGTGATAAAATGGCACTATGAAGCCCATATATATCAATAGTCACTCTAAATGTAAATGGATTGAATTCTCAAATCAAACGACAGAGTGGTGGGCTGGACTAAAAAACAAGACCCAACAGTATGCTGCCTCCAGGAAACACATCTCAGCCTTTGTTTTGTAAAGAAAAAACATAGGCTCAGAGTGAAGGGCTGGAAGATGATACTCCAAACTAGTGGCAAACAAAAGAAAGCAGGTGTTGCCATACTTATATCAGACAAAGTAGATTTCAAGATAAAACAGGTAATGAGAGACAGATAGCAGTAGTATATAATGACAAAAGGGACACTCCACCAAGAAGATATAACACTTATAAATATCCATGCACCCAACACAGAAGCACCAAAGTACGTAAAGCAACTATTAACAAACCTAAAAGGAGATATTAATAACAAGACGATAATAGTAGGGTACCTTAACACCCCACTTACATCAATGGATAGATCATCCAGAAAGAAAGTCAACAAGGAAATAGTTGATTTAAACAAAAAACTAAACCAGGTGGACTTAATAGATATATATAGAATACTCCACTCCAAAACAGCAGAATACACATTCTTCTCAAATGCACATGGAACATACTCAAGGATAGACCATATGTTTGGAAACAAGGCAAGCCTAAATAAATTTAAGAGGATTGAAATCATATCAAGCTTCTTTCCCAAACATAATGCTGTGGAACTAGAAATCAACTACAAGAAAAAAGCTGGGAAACAAATATGTGGAGACTAAACAACATACTGCTGGACAACAAAATGATCACTGAAGAAATTAAAGGAAAAATATCTGAAGACAAATGAAAATGAAAATATACCATACCAACTCATATAGAATGCAGCAAAATTGGTCCTAAGAGGAAAATTCATAGCCATACAGGCCCACCTTAACTAATAAAAATAATCTCAGATAAGCAACCTTAAGCTACACCTAACAGAATTAGAAAAAGAACAGCCAAGGCCCAAAGTCAGCAGAAGGAGGGAAATAATAAAAATTAGAGCAGAAATAAATGAAATTGGGAGGAAAAAAAAAAACAGTAGAAAGGATGAATGAAATGAAGAGCTGGTTCTTTGAGAAGATAAACAAAATTGACAAACCCTTAGCCAGACTCACCAAGAAAAAAAGAGAGAAGCCTCAAATAAATAAAATTATAAATGAAAGAGGAGAAATTACAATGGACACCACAGAAATAAAATGGATTATAAGGGAATACTATGAAGAACTACATGTCAACAAATTGGACAATCTAGAAGAAATGGATAAATTCCTAGATTCATACAACCTCCCAAAACTGAATCAAGAGGAAATGGAGACTCTGAATAGGCCAATGACAAGTAAAGAGATTGAAACAGTAATCAAAAGCCTCCCAAAAAATAAAAGTCCAGGACCAGATGCCTTCTCTGGAGAATTCTGACAAATATCCAAAGAAGATTTAGTACCTATCCTTCTCAAACTATTCCAAAAACTTGAAGAAGATGGCACACTTCCTAACACATTTTACAAGGCCAACATCACCCTGATTCCAAAGCCAGAGAAGGATAACGCAAAGAAGGAAAATTACAGTCCAACATTGCTGATGAACGCAGATGCAAAAATCCTCAACAAAATACTAGTGAATTGAATACAGCAATACATTAAAAAGATCATACACCATGATCAAGTGGGATTTATAACAGGGACATAGGGATGGTTCAACATCTGCAAATCAATCAAAATGAGGAATAAAAGCCACATGATCATCTCAATAGATGCAGAGAAAGCATTTGACAAGCTCCAACATCCATTTATGATAAAAACTCTCAATAAAATGGGTAGAGATGTAAAGTACCTCAACATAATAAAGGCCATATATGACAAACCCACAGTTACCATCACACTCAACAGGGAAAAACTGAACACCATGCCTCTGAGAACAGGAACAAGATACAGGTGCCCACTCTCACCACTCTTATTCAACATAGTATTGGAGGTTTTGGCCAGAGCAATTAGGCAAGAAAAAGAAATAAAAGCAATCCAAATAGGCAATGAAGAAGTAAAACTTTCATTGTTTGCAGATGACATGATTTTATATACAGAAAACCCTAAAGAATCCATTGGAAAACTATTAGAAATAATCAACAACTAGAGAGAAGTTACAGGATACAAAATCAACTTAAAAAAAATCAGTTGCACTTCTATACTCTCATAACGAACTAACAGAAAGAGAACACAAGGATACAATCACATTTACAATCACAACAAAATAATAAAATATCTAGGAATAAATTTAACCAAGGAGGTGAAATAAAGAAGTAAAGCATTGGTTAAATAAAGAAGCACAATGAAGACTTTAAGACATTATTGAAAGAAATTGATGATGACATAAAGAAATGGAAAAATATTCCATTCACATGGTTTTGTAAATATATTTAAAATGTTCATACTACCTAAAGCAATCTACAGATTCAATGCAATCCCAATCAGAACCCCAATGACATTCTTCATGGAAACAGAATAAAGAATCGTAAAATTCATATTGGGCAACAAAAGATGCCAAATAGCTAAAGCAATCCTGAGAAAAAAGAAGAAAGCTGGAGGCATCACAATCCCTGACTTCAAAATATACTACAAAGCCATAGTAATCAAAACAGCATGGTACTGGTGCAAAAAAAGACACACAGATCAATGGAACAGAATTGAAAGCCCAAAAATAAAACCACACATATATGGACAGCTAATCTTCAACAAAGGAGCTAAGAACATATAATGGAGAAAGGAAAGTCTCTTCAATAAATGGTGTTGGGAAAACCAGACAGCCACATGCAAAAGAATGAAAGTAGACCATTATCTTTCACCATACACAAAAATTAACTCAAAATGGATCAAAGACTTGAAGGTAAGACCTAAAACCATGAAACTCCTAGAAGAAAATATAAGCAGTGCATGCTTTGACATCCGTTTTAGAAGGATCTTACTGAATACTGTGTCTATTCAGGCAACGGAAACAAAAGAAAAAATAAACAAGTGGGACTTCATCAGACTAACGAGCTTCTGTAAGGCAAAGGACACCAGGAACAAAAGGAAAAGACAACCCACAAACTTGGAGAAAGTATTTGCAAATCATATGTCTGACAAGGGGTTAATCTCCAAAATATATAAAGACACACAATTCAACAACAAAAAAATAAACAACCCTATCAAAAAAGGGGCAGAGGATATGAACAGACATTTTTCCAAAGAAGATCTACAGATGGCCAACAGGCACATGAAAAGATGTTCAACGTTTGTAATCATTAGGAAAATGCAAACCAACACTACAATGAGATACCACCTTACACCGGTTAGGATGGCTATAATTACCAAAACAAAAATTAACAAATGTTAGAGAGGATGTGGAGAAAAGGGAACCCTCATTCATTGCTGGTGAGAATGCAAACTGGTGCAGCCACTATAGAAAACAGTATGGAGATTTCTCAAAAAATTGAAAATAGAAATATCATAGAACCCCGCTATCCCATTACTGGGTATTTATCCAAAGAACTTGAGATCAACAAT